TAATCAAAATATAAAATACTAGCAGTCATTATTTTCTTGAGACTAGGTAACAATATTATTAAAATAATAATATCAGCTAAATTCAGAGCCTTATTTTTTATTCCTTAAATACAAACCTTAAAACTCAAGACAAAATAAACATTAATTTTTTACTATAAAATTTCAATGGACCTGAAAAAACTGAAATTTCGTTCTGTATCACTGTACCACGAATACTACCAAAATAAATAAAGACTCGAATAAAAACCCCAAAAGTATTATGAAATTTTTAAAACGCACATTCTGATGTACCAATTAAAAGTAACAACAAACAAGCTTATTTAACGATCTTTTTTAATATTTTATAATACCCAGTAATAATATGTGTATTCAAATAGTAATTAAATAATAAAAATTAAATGAAATCATAATTGCTTAGCGATTAACGTTGAGTGGGGTTTGTAATTTTAAGAAACAGGTACCCACCTGTTTTAATTTAGTTTGTTTAAATAAAAATAAAAAAACTATTACTTTATTGTACATATGAATATTAAAATCTGCATTAATTATTTTTGCCTACTGCTTAGATTACTATATTTTTTTTACTTTATAATATGCTTATTTACTACTGGTAACCTCTTTACTATATTTCATTTATATATATCTAATATCTGGTTCTACTACTTTTCTACTGAGATATTAGTTACTGAATAAATATCTACTTAATATGTTAACTTTACCTATAGCTTGTAATGCGAATAATATTGTTTACTCTTCTCACGTTTAAATCTAGGAATAGTGCTCTATGTCTAGACTATTATTTGCTGCAAGACCAGTTAAGCTGTCTATTATTACCTTCTCAGTTCTCACACATTAGTTTACTTTTACCTGATATATTTCTTCCCAAAACATGTTTCATATAAGCTCTATATATCATTTTACAGCTTAAATCTACATACACCTTAACGCAATATTCATTTTCATATAAATGGCTTAAAGAAAATATTATCAATAGACGCGAACTTCTACTGTATTTTCACCGTTTTAATTTATATCTTGCTAGACCCACTATTTACTTTCGCTTAAAAGCTAACTGGTTATGATAATGAGTGCTAATTCCAACTCTACAGACCTGAAAATAAAGTTGCTTTTCTAAAATCAAGGCTAAGTCAGCACATGATGGAGCATTCGCCCGATCATCAGCTATCACACTTCAATATAAACATCGCACCTTCAGTCTAGAAAATACCAACTACCTTCTAACTACATGGAAGGTAAACTTTTTCACGTATTAGAACCTAGTATCCCCTTTACTCTATGTCTTTAAAGGCCCTTTTTTATATCAACCTTTAATCCTTCGTTTAAGTATAAATCTCTTCATTCATTCAGATAAGGAAACTGAGCGAGTAACACTTAATCTTTATTGAAACATGTGTACTCGTTTAGAGAGTGTAGCTTACAATATATTTTCAGATAAAATAAAAATATTTAAAAATATATATGTATCTAAATCAAATATAATAATAATTCTACTTAGATATTCCATGGTATCTTCAAACTCGTTCTAACTGTTTGGTATGATAACATAAATAATAACAATATATAAAACTGGAAACCTTTAATTTTTATTTATTATTAAATAAATTTTCTCTATAGGGCTATTATCCTTTGTAAAAAAATTCGTTATAAAAAGGAACAATAAAACTTGTACAAAATAGTGTTTCTTAAAAATATTAATAAAGTTAGTCAAAATGTAATTTTTCTATATCTTATTATCAAATTAATTAAAGTATTTATTTCAATTGATGTGTACAGCAATCATCTAAAGCCTATGGCTTTATACTCAACATACGAAAACAGATGGCGCTAGAAACGTTTGAACCAAGCTTATAGAGAAAAATAACATTCAATGTATGAAATATTTCTAAATAAATTAAATAAATCTTTTATACAAAAAACTATTTTATCAGGAATTATTTAGTGTTGTATTATAAAAGAAATGTTGAAAAATGTATCGTTTTGTCAAAAGGTAAACTATAGATTTACCTTATCAGAATTAATGAATGTCAGAATAATTCTAAACTAAATATATGAAAACCTCTAATATAATATTTGTATATATTATTAAGACTTAATATGATACGTAAATAGTTATAAAAAAATAAAAGCGTATTCTTAGCAGAACATCTTTCTAACTAGATTCTTAATAGTTTTCGTTTTAAATCCATACATAACAAGTAACTCTTTATATGTGAAAAATATTATTTACTTTCGTTTCACGTCAAAATGACGGAAAATTCTGTTTGCATTAGAATGGCGGAAACTTTCAGGTTCTGTATGTGACTAAGCTTTACTATCTGTGTTGCTTTCTTACTTACGTAACGTAGTCTTATTATAATAATCAAAACGATTTATTTTACCTTCCTGGAAACATAAGGCTGGTGACACACGAACTGATGAGTGTAATTGAAGCTGTAAAAAAAATATATGACTAGGAGAATAATTAACGATAGGTAGTCTAGACTAGGTATTAAAGACGTACAAAGTAAATTACCCATAATGAAAATATGTCTTTATATTGGTTAAAAGGTCTTCATTATTCTTTATTTGAACCTAAAATAACTTCATGAAATTTGGGTATAAATTTAACTTGTCAATATCTACATGATTAAAAGTGATTCAAGTAATCTTTTCTTTCTGAATAAAATGTTCTATAAGTTGATACAATCTAATTGTTAGAGCATTTATTAATAACTATTAATTTATTTTACTATATACTAATAAACATCTACAAATATTTAATTCAATACTGAAATAAGGCCAAGATCGTTTGAATTGAATAGCAATAAACGTTCATAGAAAAGTACAGATTAGTGTCAATGTTCATGATTATTGATAATATTATTGCCAATACTTTGAATTTTATTATTAAAATTCATATAGAGGAATATAATTTATTTATATTGTAATTAATAGCATTATTTAAAGCGTATATTGACTAGGCTTCATAAGATTTAGTACGACTAAAACTGGCTTTTTTTAAAGGTATTAAATGAAACAAATGACATATATTATAAGGAATATTTAAAAAAAAATAGGCCGAGACACGACGAAATATTTAATTCTCTTTCCCTTTCATACATTCTTTTCTAAATTCGTCATAAAACTGTCGATAGCACATCCATATTAACTAACCCCACACGACGATCCGCTACATTAATTAATCTGTACAATGATAATTATGAGACTTTTAGTTTAAACATATAGAAGAAAATCTACCAATATCTTATGTAAATTACAATAGCAATAAACGAGTTTGAAAAGCGACAAATCGATATGCTAATAAGCTGATTTATTGATTGTAAAAAACAGTTTTGTAAATCATTGACCGATTGTATCTTTGTCGCTTTTCAAATATTTTAATTGGGTGTGAATTAAAACGTTAAGTCGAGGAACAATTTATGTCGACACTAATGTCGTGATGTATGAAATAAAAATCTTAACTGCCATTATTATTTTATTAATAATACATTTATATTACGATAACGGACCACCAGTCGTAAGGTGTACGTAATAGTGTATTGTCCACTCGTATCTTTATACTTATGAAGCGATGAATCATTTAAAGATTTTGTTTCGTGGACGCGTATAATCGAATTGCTACAATCATAAGTACGTCTGGTTGTGTCTGCACTTACGTAGAAATTCGGTTACCTAGATGAGGTCGCCATTTTGTACAAAACACCTAAACTATTCAACAAACCATACATTACCAACGAATGATGACAAATCACTAAGTTTAAGAACATTCATTATATAGATAAGATAAAGGGAAGGTAGGTAAAGTTATATCATAGTTAGATTCTAAAACTGATTTGATTGAAAATCACTAATTATTTTATTTTTATTATTATCTATGACGTAATTTAAAAACAGCTGTACAATGCACATCTAATTAACTATTTCGATGTACTAGCGAGATACAAGTTATAATATATTTATTACATAAATGTTATATTTTGTGTATAAATAAATAATAAAATATTTTAACTAAAACAAAAAAAAAATAAAAAGCAATAGACAGGCTTAAGCGAACAGTACAATGAGTCAATAGAGGACAAAATTAATGCACTTGCCCATATTATCTAAATAATATTGATTATAACATCAACTTCAATATTTAAAAAAAAAACTCATAACAGTAACTTAATGAATAATTCTACTGGAACCGAGTTAAAGCTTTGTCAGAAATCGATAATTTAAATAACAAATTTTACGAATAATGAGATAAGAAAATAAACAGTAATAAATATTTGATCATTTAATGGTATTCCCATGGGATTATAAAGCGACGTCAATGCTACGTTCTTAAGTATTAGGCTTAACCGGCAGAAACAACCGCCGTATAGTAACACTATAATCTATATCCATCGCACTACTAGAGATTTACATAACTGCCACCAAAGCAACCCGAGTAATTCAACAATTTGGTAACGAAAATAAATGATTAACTGATTAATACGACCACGTACGGCGCGGCGATACGAATACAAACGATGAAGCAGTCTCACCAAATATTATACACAGAAAAATCATTTTCAATAAACTATCTAGATACAATAAGGTTCACCAGTGACGATAATCTTTATTTAAACTTCGAGGCTTAAATATTATAAAATACACAATCGGGTCTATTACTACATATCAGTATCAGGAATCGCTAGCTACTCATACTTAGTCTCGTTAAAATTACAGATAATTTCGTAAGTAATACTATACACAAATCGACAACACAATATGCTAGGTGATTCTCTGGGACTCCGCTCATAAGCGTCCACATTACGTAAACGGTACAACTAAGGTATATCGGAGTCAGTGTTTAGTACGAGCTAACATCATAATATCGGAGACTTTGTAGATGTAGATCGGTACTAAGCACAGAGTTCTTGCCGACCACTATACCAAGACACTTGAGTTCGTTTATTCTGTTATACCGTGAAGGTCCCAGAGAAGGGCGCGGGTCACTGGTGGTGTTTGGCCGGCGGTGCGTGGTGCAGCGCCACGTGGTGGGGCGCGTGGTGGTGACCGTGGTGGTTGTGGTTATTAGCGTTCGAATTGTTGTTATTATTCTGAGCCGCCTGCGCCGCCTGCCGCTGGGAATTCTTCTTATTCTTCATACGTCGGTTCTGGAACCATATTTTCACCTGGCGTTCAGTTAAGTTGAGATTCCGCGCTAGCTCCCATCGTTTCTGTTTCGATACGTAAGCGTTGAACAGGAACTCTTTCTCCAGTTCGAGGGTCTGGAACTTGGAGTAGGGTTTGCGTTTTTTGCGCACAGTCACTTGTCCGGTCCAATCTAGGGGATTTGATGAGCCGCAGCCGACTCCAACACCAACGGACATCGACAGGGATCCTGTGCCAAGAAAAAAAATATATAAAAAAATCTGTCTATAAAACATATAAAGAATCTTAAAGTTCTACAAATAATACTCTAGTAATATTAAGAGTAACAGCAATGCGTTGGTAATTTGACCGTAAGTAACCACGGAGGACCATTAGCTCTGCGTGACCGACCGTTTGAAGTATAACCAGCTATTTCTATTCAACGTACAGAGAAACAATTGCAGGCAATGCACGGTGCGTTAGATGTTGCATATAGCGCGATTTATGTGTGGCGGCCCTTTTGATGAGATCACGTCCGTTACTTTGTATGCGACACACAATCATCTCGATATTCGATAACTTTCTGAACCATTTCCTATTTATTAGTAACAATACAAGTGATTGCAGAACAGTTATTTACTGTCCGACAGTGGTTCCTCTTAGATGTTAATGATTATAAATAAAGCGTTTTATGACGAGCTTTCATATTTGAAAACTCGAAGCAATTATTTGCAACACCAGCTGCGCTCGTTTCTAAAGAAATCATTTTTCTGTTTCCGTTTACGTAGTTGATGTTAGAAAGTGCTTTTCTATATAATTGTAAGACGCTTTCAGAGTTTTCATACGAATGCGATGTTTGAAAGGCTGTACATGACGCTAATATTATATTAAAAAAATATATCAGATGTCATTTACGTAATTATAAGAACCTATAATATGAATACAGGTTGAGTCTACTAAATTTTTTTATTGCAATACAAACCTTCACTTAAAGACTTAAAGTTTAATTTCTATTGAATTTATCGATAGCAAAACATAAAAGAAATGAATAAAAAAACTAAATGAAACGTGTTTTGCATTTATATTGATTCTTGACACATAATTGTTTCATGTAACTGACCTATCACAACGTTACCTGTTGTTATAAAACTCTAAAAAGCAACTGAACGCCGCACCGGCCCACGTGATGTAAACGACCTTACATTTTGAACATATTTACAAATAATAAATAGTGAAGCCGTAAAATATATTAATGAATTTTATTGCTATATTCGAATTAGATTTATAAGGAAGGCTTGAATGGACGGCATTTTCTCTTATGCAGTTTAATAGCAAGCTTTTATCGTCTTTTATTCCTCTTCCGTCCACACTAGAGACGATCGGTAAATTAGTGTTAATTGGAAATAAATCAGTTCTCTATTGTAATGAGTAGAAAAGCAATTGTCCGACGAACATAATGACAAGTCGAGTTGTTCAATTATGTGGGGATAGGTAGCGATCACGGACAATAAAAGTGTGGGTTCCGTTTGATCATAAAATCTTACCTACCCGACCGCGGGCTGTGTCATACTTTGTCATGACGATTGTCAAGAAAAAATCTTATCACTAACAACCTAAGGTCCAAAATTCCTCGAACAACCGATCGACATTTGCTCTCTGTTACCCTAATTATCGCTTTAAATAAACCACTTATAATGCTATTTTCGACGACATTTATTCCTGTAATTAGCATATAATTTTATTTTATTTGTTCTTCATATGTAATTGCTCGAGTTTGAAATTAAAGCGTACTCTGAGCCGAATAAAAAGATACCCTATATAAGTAAGTCTAAGTTTCTTAGCATCGGTTAACGGTGCTCACAAAGGTTTGTAAATCGTAAATACACAAATCAAAGTCAATGTCAACGTCAGGTGGGCCGTAAATGTACAATCATAAAGTGACGTACACTCATATAACTTTTTCAACAATTGTTTCCTTTTAATGGGCTATTATATGCGAGTTTAACGCAAAATTATGTCAAGTTACACCGCTGCTGTAACAGAGACGCGATAAACCCATCTTTATGGTTAGGGGGCAATCGAAAGCGAACTATCGTGGCCATTTATGAATGAAGTCTTTTTATTACTCTCATATTGACAAGGCGTTAGGTTGCTAATCACTGCTCGCTAGTGATTTGGGTAGGGAACCAGTTTTCTTACTATTGCATGAATACAACGCGGTCGCGGTTTTATTATGTCATAAAATTGATATACATCTAGTAGTACAAGCTTCTCGTATGCAGCCTAGGAGTTTATCGTCTCATCAGCCTAAACAGTGTTTATTGTAGCAATATTTCGTTTATAGCCACTACTCGAAGATCCTTTATTGTCTTAACGCTCAGGTGTCGTGTTTATTTATTAGTTATATATTTTTTATAAGCGTTTTATTTTACGTAAACCTTAATTTATTACGGGTTGTATAACACCGTTTAACATTGCCTATAAAATGATGCTTACAGTACGTTTTTAAACATTTGTAGCACGTGTTTTGTTCATTCATCAAATTTATGGTTCTCGGTGGGGAAATGGTGTTGATTGATTGGTGCGCTTTAAAAGATATATATGTATCGATTTGAATTTTATTATACAACGTTTTTCCTTACACTTTTAACTACGCAAAGAGCATGTGGTTTTAATTTCCTTTTTATTTATATTTGATTACGTACATAGTGATCATTGTTATGTCATTTATTACAAATAAATAAAAAGAAACCAGTCTATAATAAAACAAGTACGAAGCTGGTGCAACATGCACTCTACTGATAATGATAAACGTTCTGCTTCACTACACACAAACGTACATCGAGGTGTGCGTCACGCACACATCGATAGGCGGTTCGTCTGTGTGCGTAGTGACACTGCCATCTAGCGGGCGATGGTGCCATACATCCGAGGGTCAAGGTTGATAAACTCATAATACATTATTTTCAAATCTACTCATCTGTCCTTAAGACATAAACCAATACAAGATTAGTGACTTCTATGATAGTGGAGCACAATTATTAACAATCAAACGTGGATCTCACATCAGTTATTTGTTTACAAATTAAGGAGTGTTTTGCCTTCGATAACTACAGCTTTGAGTACAAACAGTAAAGTTTAGTAAACGGATGTTAAAAAACGTGAGCTCGAGATTGTGAGTGTTTGTAAATATATAAATTTAACAGATTCAATGTATACTGACCGGGTAGAGCACTCGGAGGTGGGTAAGGGGCGCTAGACACGGACTCTGGCGCGTAGTTCCGGAGACCGTAGGCGTCGTGAGAGAAGCCCGAGGCCTCGGAGACAGCGGTCCGGCGCTCCTCACCACCCACGTACGACAGAGGCTGGTCCCCGCGAGGAGCTCCGTACGGGTAGTTCCAACACGGCTGAGAGAAACCTTGGTGGCAGCCGTCCGCGTACGGCTTGTACTCGCCACCGCTCGTCGGCCAGAACGGTAACGCTGACTTCCGTTCCCTCTCCACCGGGAGGTTGTAATACGTCGGGGCCGTAGGGTACTGGTGCTCGAAGGAGGCCGGTGCATCAGGCGGGTAGCCCCAGGACTGCTGCGCGTGTCGTATGACGCCCGGCTCGGGCTCGTACCGCTTGGCCGGTATGTGGAGCGGCTGAGGAGGGTTGGAGCCGACGGAGGCCGGTGAGGCGCTGGAGGCAGACGGCGGGGCGGCGGCCGGCGCTGAGGGAGGCGAGCCGCCCGGGGGGGACGCGTGCGGCTCCTCGTATATCGCGCCGCCGACGCCGTTCATCATGCTCCACCAGGCCGGGCCGGCGGAGTGCCCGGAGGCGGGCGCTGGCGACACGGCAGCCGCGTCGCAGGCGGGGAGGGCCCCGACATGGTTGTCAGGGTACAGGGTGGCGGCCGGGCAAGCCACGGGGGAGCGGGGAGGAGGCAGCGGTTCACGCGCGCGGGCACATCGCACCCAGCGAACACGCGCAGCACATGAAAATTAAACGCGGTTCCCGATTTAGCTTGCCAGCCGGTTAACACGCTGTACTGTGCTCACACTCCAGGCGACTCTGACAGCGCTGACTCTGGGACAGCGCGAGCCAGCTCTGTGATGTGCACCAGTTGTAATTATTAAAACCCAGTCCAAATACCACAGGGAACGAGTCAAATTGTTGAGAACTATCGCTTAGTAATGTTTGAAATTTTTTAAGTTCAAAGTTTGTAGCACAATATATTAATAGTTCGCAGTGACACAGAGTTTCGTATATCGTAACGCGTTCGCGTATAAGCGGCTGTGAGAAGCGCGCGGTCGGCAGCGCGGTCGAGCGCGGAGTGGCAGCGCAAGGCGGTGTGCGGCGCGGCGCACACACGCGCACACACGCTCCATCTAGCGGCGGGCGGACGAACTAGAACTGCACCCGTAGCGCCCGCCCGCCCGACACGAGACTACAATTTACATTACAACTTTTTCATTCTCCGACCTCAAATAAAATGCATTTTATAAAGCGACACACATTATTTTTATAATTGCTGCTATATTTCTTTAACTAACTTTATTTTGAGACTAAAATATATTTGAATCGAGGTGTCTTTAAATTCGTTCAATATATATCGTCATCTCGGTATAATTGTTTGAAGTCTGTTAGAACAGTAGCTGTATAACGGGTGCGGGTGCGTAGTAAAGCGATTAATGGAGGCAAAATAGCCATAAACTGCCGTTTAACCAAACTGCAAGCGTCACTCGACCATCGAGTTGCCACCAATAAAAAACGCGAGACTTTATGACGGCTACTCACTCACGTTTTATTGTGTGTATAAACTTAATTTTATCGTCTGTTAATTTTACCACAAATAATCATAGATACTATTTAACCAGCTATCAATTCGTATGAAACGAGATAGTCTGGTAAATTATAATTAAATATGTATAAAATATTCTTGTATATAAATGTTTTCTATATTATAACCGTGCTAATAATTCCAAGTCAGCACTTCTTCGTAATCCAATAACATAGGTGATAAGGGCGGCACCCTTCCTTTCTTACACCGGTCGAGTCAATGGGAACAATGCTTTATACAACCAATAAATCTGCTTACAATATTTCACACCTATACAAGTACGAGTTCTGTTTACACAAGACACGACTATAAAATATGTCAGATTAACAAAAGCAAAACATACATAGCGCACTAAGTAATGTCATTAGACGTGTTAACAAATTCTTTTGCCTGTTATTATGGTAATAGAAAACCAACTTGTCAAAATAATATATGACATTTCAGCAGTGCACTAATTTCCCACACTTAAAATTATTGTAACGAAACAGGAGTCGTTAAAAAAAATCTATAAATTACGCGAACTATGTACGTGGGTCTATTTTATTACGAGGATTATGACTAAACTTTCATAATGCAGGTACCTTTCCAAGGAATGTCTTATCATATAGGAACGAAAAGCACATGACTTCACGGATTGATCTGGTTTAAAAAAAAAATTAAATTACTAAAAATATTTAAAAACTGGAGAAATAATAATTGACCCTTAAAGTTTTAGTGGATACCAAAAATATATATACAGAACAAATATATGGTAATCAGAGATGTTATCTCTTTGTATCTCAATTAACAGATTGAAATTTATGTCCCATCACCCATGTTACATATAAAACGTATTTAAACTGGAAACTAAATACGACGCGTTATAGAAGAGTCGATTGTAACGAACAAGTGCTGGGCTCGTCTATAAATATTTACGTTTGGAAACTGTACAGACCAACAGTCGGCCATATTGTACGCGTAAATAAAAGTGCGCTTTCTTATCTCAAACATGTGAGTTACGCAAATGGAATCGAGGCTACCGGCTGTATACGAAAATATATAAAAGAATCACTTCTAACAATACAATTACTATTATATTATATATAAGAAACAATTCTATGAAAAATTATCATATTTAAAAACCTTTTCACGAACTCTCGTATAAATAAAACATTTTAGACTGTCATTCATTTTAAAATAAATTTCGGAAATCAAATACAATATACGAAATAAAAAATATAAAAATATTTTTCGTTCAATATATTTTAGCGATACACACATAAAAGTCAAATAATATTTATTTACAAATATTTATAAAAAGACTCGTAACACAAGACGATGCTTTCTCTTATCGGGACGTGAATCATAAATTGTCAAACATAACTTATCATTACGATATTCATTTAAATCATAAAGCTTGTATATATTTGGACTGGTTTTTATATGTACATACTAAAATTATAACATATATTATATATTATTATCGTTCCAAAACAATGTCCAGTTATCAGTGAAGGCCGTTATTATGTCAAAAGGTCGTGAACCACTAATTTTACAAGACGTTAATGATAGTTTATCAATACTCAAATGTATGATAAAAATATATAATGCTAAATTCTTATTATACACGTGTATTGATCGTTGCAAGGTCGTTATATTAGATAATGTCGCGGAAACATTAATGAGATCAAATGTGACGTCACTAATATTATTTTTAAATTTTATAAATAAGACCTTATAACGATATATTTTTTATCATTATTACGTCCTGATAGTCACCTTGTCGTAAACTGGCTAGCGAGCTTTGCGTGAACGGGCACGGCAACCTGTAAAGAAATTATTAAACAACGATTAATAAATATATACATATATATTAAAATTAATATTCGTATTATTGTATATCTATATTGTGAATTTTATTCAAATTATTATGAAGTCTTAAGATCTTTCGAAACGTCTTTAAGCAAACCAACGAAATCTTAAATAACATTTATATTATTATACCTCAGGCATTTTTTCTTTTCGTTTTTAACTGGTACTTATTGATACTTTTTATATTCAAAAATATTCAGATAGAAAAAAAACATGACTTAATAAATTATGATGTGATCAGTATATATAAGATTTTAATACTCTAATATATTTATCAGATAATTAATATTAACTAATTAAATTAAACTATTTTAATGAATCGTTATCAACTATAATGTTATCTATTTTATTTTCGGGCCGAGCCTCGCCCGTCTACCATTCACAGCTATACAAATCCACCGTTTTATTTTCTTACATAGCTCGATACCAAATATAAATAAATCCTTTATAAGTCATTCGATACGGCGCAAAGTCACGAAGTTTACATAAAATAGGTGATTTGCGCCGATTGCCACGGTTTTTTCGAGTTCCATTGGGGGTGTGGGCACCATACCACTTATGTTCCGAGCCGAAAAAACATGTTTACAGACTTCTTTATTTTAACGATTCCTCTTTTACTAGATGCTGGTCGTAAATTCCATTTTCAGCTTTGTAACATTAACCGTGATCCGTTATGATTGATTTAGCACAGATCAAATTATACACACACGCTTTAATAAATACTACATTTGATAATGTACGTATATAATGTTGTTGGTTAAGTATTCCCAAAACGCCAACAAACTAATTAACTCTAAATCCAAAGAGACTAGAAGTTGAAGTGAAATAACTTAAGTCGTTTTCCCTAAAGGTTGCCGACGTGTTTATTTAAGTTAGTGGCAGTCAAAGTTCTTTCTAAGTCGCATCAGACCGTAATGTAGTCGGACATTTTGTACTATATTTATTTTTCCTCAGTAAATGACAGTAGAACGATGGCACCGGGTACTTGAGCTGACATTTACGACTTAATTCCAAAGCAGGCCGCAAGCCAGTCGAACGGGTGCATTAAAACCATTTTAATAGGACCTTCCCCTAACATGCGGCTCTCATTTAAGTAGCAGTGAAAAATCGATCATAATATATTTCGAAGGTTCACGTTAGTTTGGTTAATGATACGTCTCAATAGCACCGATGACAGGACCAGTTTGTATGTACATTATCACTGTCAGGTTGTTTATCTCTGACAAGAGCACTTCTCCCACGCATATACAAATTATATACTGACATTATCTTAGTACGACTATATACAGGGTCTGAAAATTTTTTACGTGTGTGTGTTTCTATGAATTAGTAATCAAATATTATGTATGTGTGTGTGACAGTTACAATAACAATATCGAGGGAGAAGTCCAAGAATTTAATGGTGCGAAAACTGACTGGATCATATCACCCAGTTTACGACATCATGTAAACGGCCGATTCATTTGCAATTCCAACTGAGATTTAGCAACGCTCCGTTGTTACTCGAAGTCAAAACAACAATATACATCAAACATCATTACATTACATATAGATTTTGATTGATTATTCCATATATAAGAACATAAACTCTAATATATACAATTTTAATGTCACTCTCAAAATTCTTATTGTAACGTAAAATTAAATTATATTTTCAATCTATATAAATGAACAATTGTAAATTGAATTTAATTGTTAGCCCAGTGAAAGGAAGGTCTCTGGACTTTAAAGATGACTCACTCAACTAATATGTATTACGTCAGTTTCATTTGATAGTTCAGTTAATTCAAATCGTCATATAGAGATGCCTCCAATAGAAATGTTTGAATACTTATACTCAAGTATCATACTAACTAACAATCTTTTGGTGGTCTTCTTATTGAGTATTCATTCTAAGCTTGATCATATCTCCAAGGACACAGGGATTTGTCAGTACGGAATAGATCGATTGATAAGAACTCGATAATTGAAATTTTCATAGCGTTCCCCTAACACATTTAAATTCGTTTAACGTTCAATAATATACATAATATAATTTGTTTCAAATATCTACTAACATATAAGCTTTATATAAAAATGAGGTATTTTCGTATAAAATAAATATATTTTTTTAAGTCAAAACCGTGGAATATTATTAGCATGTGTTTAACTTATTTATGGAAACTCATAATGAACACCGACAACTAAATCATAATTTATATATTAGTATCTATATTAAAATTTCAATATTATTTAAAACGGTAATTCTGTTTTTATCTTTATTTATATTAAAAATAACTTACAATATATATTTTAAAATACAAATTTATTAATTTATTATTATAAGTATTATTTATAATCAAATTCGGTCGTAACATTGTATTATATCTTTTATCTGCGAATAAATAACTCAAAGATCGTAATTAGGTACTCCACAAAGATGATGCTTTAAAAACTTCCTATATTTTATATTTAATGTATTCAATAGTATATATGTTAATAAAAATAAATTCTTCCTAATTTATAATAAAGGAAACTTCATGAAAATCTATGTAGTTCTAAGGAAAACATTTGCGATACTAAATAAATGTACTTTTTATGTTCAATTATAGTTTCATGAGTTCTTATTTAAATCATTATATAAGTGTACTTTAAGGAAAACGGCAAATCTTTGCCAAAAGACACATGACATAAATGCAAAATGCATTTACATGAATTTCGGTCGAGGCACGATTCAGTGCACACCTTCGTAAAGTTACCTGACTCTTTAAACGCTTGTATCAAACTTAAAACGGACGTGAGAAAAATTTAATACTGACATATTTTAAGGCAAAAAGTTTCCTCGCACTATAAAAAGCGTATAATTTCGGCAGCGATGGAAAGATAGCTGTATCTAACACAAAATGTAAATAAACACGCAACACAAAATATATATAGTATTTTTTATGTTGAAACTTTCAAAACACGGATACCATGAGGTATGACAAAAAAATATTTATGTTTTGTTGAACTGAACATTAAAATAATGAAACCAAAGCAGTATTAGACTTTAAACAAATAGTAACTTATTAGAAACAGTTACAGTTAGTAAATAATGTATAGTACATAATTTGATGACTTTAATAATGTGAAATGTGCTATAATATAATATAAATAAAGTTGAAAATCAAACCTTAGTATCATGTTCTGTGTAGCCTCTTCTCCTCACCTGTTTGTAAGGTCGTCGAGGCACGCCGCACCCGGACCTTACCCGCAACACGCCTGTGACAAAACGAAATACATTTATATACTAAACTATCGATAAACATCACTATTTTTAATCGATACATACTATACTAATACGTCCCTATATACTTACACTCGTATGTATAAACACGATAATAAAAACTATAACTAAAGCAACAGAAACAAGTAATGTATTGTTATATAGTTAAACGAGTAACGTTTTCACGCTACAATCTTTCCTACATTGTAATACATGCTACAGTAAATTAAATAGACAAGCGTATAGATTGCTTTTTACATTTTACAACTGTTACATTTATAATTTTTCAATAGTTTCGCTGTCCTCTAACTCAAACAGCCGGTAATAAAAAAACTATCTGAATACCTATAGGGTTAAATGTTATTTTATAGAGGTAATTAAGAAATATGATATATAGACTATAACCTTTTCTTGTTACAGTTCGTTGTAAAATGTCTTCTTAACATTTCCTAATCTTATTCTTAAGTTCAAAATCACTCGTCTTAATGAATGAAAATCATAATGACATAAAATTTTGTTCAAAATTATATAATAAGCTGGAAGAGGTTTAAATCTCAATTTAATTTAATCCAGGGAGTTTAATTTAAAACTCAAATCTTAATAACTCAATCCAATGTATCTATTTTATTTGGTATGATATAAATTTAAGTGTCGGGCGGCGTGTATTCATCTTATAATTTTGTCGACACCTTCATTATGTAGAACAGCTAACAATTTAAATATTTTCCTACTTTATTTGTGACCTGGATATATCAATGTATTAAGTGTGAAAGAATATTATCTTATATTTATAATGTAGGAAATTTTTAATACATTTTAAATGTTACAAAGCTCTCAGCAAAAATGGAAATGGCGTATCCCCAATCGAAAGCTCTAGAAATCTCAGCAATAAATGCCCACAAGCGCAAATTTATTTTTATCGTCTGTTCCACTTAAGGAATAAGATTTAAAAAAATGTTCCCAATTTTTTTTTCCGTAATATCATCGCGTATTCTTTCTTTGGAGGGCGTAAAACGTTTATAGGATTCGATTGAATGTGGGTGCGGAGATTTCATTTATGAAATTAATATCAAGTAAGTATATGAATATTAAGTTGAATATAAGATAAAAATATACCTAATATTATAAGAGAGACAAAAAGAATCTACGCTAAATAAAATTCTTGAAAATTACTATGTGAATCGTAATACAGTTTACATAAACTCTGCAACTAAGAGATGCAAAAAGTAAATTGCTCTGACTTCTTAGAAATGCAGTATCAAAGATCTCGTCCCGTTTACGATGCAACGATCCACAGATAGCGTTATACAGCGGACATAATGAAGTCATTTGATTAAGATAAACATTTACACGGGATTTTTGTTCCTTACATAATCGAATCCTTTTGGATTAAGGATGATATTTGCTTAAAGATTTCAGTTGTTAATTTAAAAACAACTAATTACAGTACATACGAGATTCCAGGTACGCTAAACAAATCCTTGTTTTATAAAAATAACCTAAGGATATCTTGTTTCGGCAAAAAAATATAAGTGAAGTAGGTAATGTTCTGCATTATTTAATGTAATGCCTTAGGTTTATCTCGAATAAACATTTCAACAAAGTTTACTATATAAATAAAATAACAATTACAAATATATTGAATTGATTTGTTAGATTAATTAATAAATACAAGGCAAAGATTACTTCATGATTTTCCAAGATCTACTACGAAATTATTCAATATAAAATATCAAAGCAATAAAAATATATTCGTTATAAAGTTATTATTTTATTTATTTGGTTTCTAAGAAAATTGTTACATCTTATAATTTTATATATAAGTAAAGGGCAGAAAACTATTTTACAACATAAAATCTTACAACGTGAAAATCAATTCCGAATCACAACAAAGATTCTGTAATAGGTTTAAAACAATTTTCTTCATTAAATTGAATTGCATTATGAAACAAGTTCAAATCAGTTATTGCTTGTGCAATACGAGATAAGGGGTGCGGTGATATACCGCATATGTCGACCGGATTGTGCTTTATTAAATCGGATTATTTTGGAAAGGAATATTGCTTTTACTAAACCTGTGACTATATTGAGTTTCTCAACATATATATGGAATATATAATAGTAATGTTTTGGGTGTAATAAGGTTTGAGTTTGAATTTGTACTACATAAAAATTGTACTACATAAAAATTTTAATTAAATGTATGTAATAGAAGAACGAACTTCTATCAAATATACGTAGTAAAAAGCATCGTCTTTTTCTACAAAAATATCATGATATTCTATATATAGGTATATATAATATAAATAAACAATTTACTCTGCTCCTTAATTAAACCATCGTCCTAAACTGGAAGGACAAATAAAACAATTCGATGCCGGGGATTCATAGACGGGTTGTGGATTTCATTGTTTAGGTTTGAAACGTGTTCCTCATAACAAACAAGTCTTCCTGGAACGAGTCTCCATATATCCGGATATTGAGGACAACGAAATATTTACGTACTCCCATTTATATCTGAATATATAAGCTTAATAATAAACAATATTAGGTGCTGAGTCCAAAATTTAGGCTAGCTTCGTACCTAATTTTGGTACATTCGAGATGAGCTTAACAAGAGCGGGTAGCGGCGCGCTTTTCATCTTTGAAGCGCAACATTTACATTTTCGTCTCATTTATTTGCTATTTCGGTCTTCCCCCTCCCCTGTACTCCACATTTCTCCCTCCAATGAATAAGTCTTGGCGTGCGTCAGACGGGAGTAAAACGGAATTGGGATGGAACGCTCTATAAAGTCTAATTAACTTTGAAGTGAATGCACAAATGTAAGGAAATATAAAAACCGCCGTCCAGATGAATTTACAGCTTCAAGTAGTTTGTTTATTTACTTCGCATGTAACTTAATTATAATACGAGTTAGATCGTATGTGAATGGACAATGAACATCCTCTTAAATAAATATAAATCATTCTTACAATAATAAACATAAATCAGTATGTTCGAATCGTTTAGCGTAGACTCAGTGATAAAGGAAGCGTGTAAGGCATGATCAGAATTTAATCGTACGATTTCCAGTTTTATTAAGATATTTAAAGAGAAAAAAAATCCCTTTATATTGATATTCAGCGGTCGTCAGATATAAAAGTAACGCGTCCCTTTACGCAAACCTTTTGTCTCGGGGCGGTTTCTTATTAGAAATAATATCTTGCCACCCCCCTGTTTGTCATTCGCCGCTTGCTTTTAGCAGGATGCAACTATTTTTCGTGGTTAGAATCCAAATAAAATAGTAATATAGACAAATTTAATATATTATAACTAATAAATTTTATTCATTCACTAGAATTTATCTCATTACAATTAAAATATTTAATATCAATGACTTTTTCCAGTCTTATACGATCAGTAATATTCAAGTTTATTCTTGTATATGATATAAAATACTATTATTATAAATATTATATATATATAGAAACTAATTTTATTTCTAGCAAAGCAGATTCTGTGATAGAAAAACTGTGTGCCACCCCCGAATATAAATCGCCTTGTTATATTTTCCGGAACATTTGGATTCATGAAGTTTGTGAGGCTTGACGGCATGATTTCTTAAATATGTTTACTATATTTAGAAATACTATAAACAAAATATATATAAAGCACCCAAAAACTATCTATCAGTGCTATTTAAACTTTATTTTTATATACAGTTTGTGTATTTTTTTGTTGTAGGAACATTAATTAAATCTTAAGACGTAAGCTATGTATCTAACTAACATTTTGAGCGGAATTAAAGTGAGTATCTCTGTTATATGACTGGGAATGTTTTCACCCCTCCGTGGGTGTTATAAAAAGCTTTCAATGAGGCTATCACCCCCGTAATAATTATGTTAAGAAATGTAAAATTTGTTCTTAATATGCGGAAAGGGGCAATAGATGCTTTTAATGTCACTATATTTTATAATAATTGCGTAAAATAATAACAAAAAAATTGTATTTCCATGTTTAGTTATACTTTATTAAATTATTATGTATCTCATTAATTAGTTAGTAAATATTTTAAGTAAATCAGTAGTTTTTATTCAGTTCTCCATTGATATTTCAAGAGCAAAAAATATGTTGTAACATTTTTCCTGCTTTGCAAAATCTATTTTTTGATCGAATAGCATATATTTACATACATCATTGTAAGCAACAACGTAGGTAGAAGTTTTACGACATTATTGATAGATATACCAACAGTTTGTATAGAAATATGTAGGTTAAAAAAATAAAGCTAGCAAGTAGTAAATTATGATAATATATTTTTTTAAATTTGTCCAGATAGCCGAATGCTTCTTAAAATAACAAAGACACGGGATAAAAATGACAAAGGAAAGGGTACAATGGCTCGGTTACGTAACACAGAACAAAGGGTGAAATGGTATGAATATGAATGAATTACTCGGTGAAATTGGGCCACGCTAAGATATTATTCATATATTTTGCTTTTAAATTTAACTTCAAAAATGTACGGAATAGCAAAGTTTACAAATACCTCCATAAATCTCATTTAAAATTTGAATAAACACTCTATATATTGACTAAGGTATCCTAAGTTTTAATTTGATGTCATCCCTTTATTGAAGTAGGTACATTTTATTATATCAATCGAAGTATAGATTCGTATAAATACGTAACAAAGCAGATATCAATACTTGGCAACAAAACGTATAGCTTTCAGTGGGATTAGACAAGCCATCGTTTTACTTGAACGTAATTTTCTTACATCCGTACCTCGATTGTTCGTCCCGGTATTTATTTAACAGGCGAGATCCCTACTTACTTGAACACAGAATAAGCCCCGACCTTGTAAATGAGAGCCCGGATTATATTAGATTGTCTCTAAACCATAGATACCTTCTATCTGAATGTATCCCAACCAATTTAGATCTCTATTTCATAACTAATAAAATATAAACTCATTTGAGATTGTGAAGGATTCAAAACTGTATACTTATTTGAAAACGCTACAAATGCATGCGATGCGATATACAACATAGCAGTTACAAGTGCTGACCTATACAAGGAATGTATCATCTGTATTAAAATATAGAAAAATAAACCTTATGTTTATATAAAGATTTTATAAAACAAATCTTATAAACTAGGTACGAAAATTCATATTAGCGTGCAGTATTTCAGCATGAAAGACTTGTTTAGATCGGTTTGTATGTGTCCTTGTTTGATAAATAGATGAGGATGAAGATATATACATACAAAACTATATTAAAGACACTAACTAAATACCTAACTATTTCAACATTTACTATAGTTACTTTACTTAAATGTAATACCATAGTAACAAAAACAATAATAATATTTAAATTCCAAACATATCCATAAAAATTATACAAAAAAAATGCATACATATATAGTAGTTTAGTGCATGTATATTACAAAAATATGTCTGCATACATTATAGGACATTCATAAATCGCATTATTTACAACGCAGCGTTGGAGGAATTTTAAAACTGTTACATTCGATATACAGGCGGTTTTTAACGGTGATTTCTTAAACAATCGATTTAATTCAGTAAAATTACGAGACAGTGGATTGTCAGTTATGTTTGTGGAGTCTGAATGTGCCGAATCGGTGAACGGCTAAGTGCTCGTAAATCTTACAAGCTCTCCGTGGATGAAAATAAGCTACATACATGACGCGATTGCTTTCCAACAAAATGACTAAATGTGTATATATAAATATATACATACATACATACGATTTTGTTAGTGTTAGTAATTTATCAATTAATTCAACTCAAAGCTTATTAATAATATTACTGAAAAAATAATTTGAACTCAAATCCCAAAGCAAAACATCAAAAAAATATATATATTAAAAAATATTAATCCACTGATCGATTATAACGAAAATACCAAATCCTTAAAAAATTAAAAAAAAAATCTCGATGCAATAATCAAGCTTGTTATAATAACAATCAAATGTATACTTTATTACCATTATAAAGGGTTTGAATTTGTTTGCATGTGAGTACCGTAATCGGGCATTCGGAAAGAAACGGGTCCAAAACGGGCTCCTTTTATAAATACGCGGCACGGCAACCATGTTGCTTGGCCCGCCAATCAGAACAATCCTGCCAGAGATTCTAATATGGCGGAGATATGGACATTATCACTCCCTATTATTATATCGGATTATAGAATGGCGCATATCTTAGACTAGATTGAAATTTCTAAACGAAAACATCGTATCTTTCTCGAAGAATTCCCAATACAATAAAGTTATTCTAACACTTTTCACTGTAGATGACTGTATTTAAAAGATTTTTGACATGTATTTTTACAACTAACGTGAATTGAAAATTTGTCTGGAGCTCTATGTTCATAATTATAATTACAGTTTTAGTTACTGGCTATTTCATTAACGGCTTGGAAATTAAAAAAAAATACTTTTGATTTTAACCAACTAATAGTATTATCAAAATTATATGTAGGTAGGTACTAGATAGTACTAAGTATTAGTAGATTTTAATGCCGCTTAATACAAATTGGGTGAGAAAGTGTTAGTTTAATAATCATAGTTAATTGAGTGGCTAATGTTTTTACAATAGCGAGATAACAGGCTAAGTTTAAGTGGTTATTTATTCCAGCTTGATAAGTCTGGTACTGAAATGTATAAACAGATGTTCGGGTTGAACGACCTCCACGCGAAGCTCCATCCTCTTGATTTATTTATGCGCCTGCGCAATCAATGTTACAAGGAGTCTTAATGCACTAAAAATAATATTGATCAATGCATCGATATATTCAGTTAACAAATAGATTAATTCAAATATGTTAAAATTAAATATCAATTTTAGTTACAGGTATAAAATAAAAATTAAATATAAGTAAGTATTTCTTTTAGCGGTATATCAGTATCCATACATTATCATTTATAGACAGGTTGGAGGGTTCTTAAAAAACGTAGGTGATTTAACAAAATTACATAATAAAATGATTAAAAAGTATAAGAAGGGCGCGGCATCTCTCAAAGACATTATTATAAAATGTAGCAATTTAAATTCAAACATAAAAACCTCCTACTACATCGAGACGTATTATAAAGTTATAGGCAAAACGAATTACGACGGACACGACGAAGGAACTCGAGGGTGAAGAAGACTCAGGTGGAAATTAAGTGAAACAATTATACTTGAATTATTCATAATATTAAAAGATTCAGACATTAATTGGCAGGTGCTTTTATAATAAATATTAATTAAATTCTATTAAGAAATACGTAATCTATAGTTCGTAGTCATTGTTATAGTATTTTACTACTATAGAATCGCAAAGACGGGTCAAGTTAGTTGGAAGTTCAGCAGTAAAAACTTTCTTTGTTATTCGATACTATCGGTAATAGAAGTAGAAGTCTTTAGTAGGTTTTATTTTGGGGAATTGCAAGCTAAAGTTTAATGACACTAGAACCTTTACCTTTTATTATTTACAATTTTATTGGGCACAATTACGTTGAGTTGTATCAACGTTATTTTCTTATAACATTTGTATTTCTATTTCTGTCTCTATTCTAAATGAATATATTTAAATTTCGAACAAAAAATTTATTTAAATTTTATAATTATTTAAATGTAAACTTCTTTGA